CCTTTGTAAAATTCCAGACTGTTCCTCCCTGCCCATCGCTCTGGACTGTTGAGATCCATCCGCAGGGTTGCCCAACACCCAAGGGTATTGGCCACTCCTCCCACTTCTGTCCAAAAGCTCTGTATTGTGGGTTTGTGCATAATGGCCACCACTCCCATTGCCAGCTGACAGTAAAAAGGAGGCTTTCAGAGAGACAAGCAAGAATAATTTTCACATATTACTTTTAAAAGGAGCTGCTCCTCAACAACAGAAGCTTTTTACATTACATTGTCAGGTGAGAGGTTCTGCCTTTTTAGTAAAGGCTTTTTTATTGCTCAAACATGAAGAAGCATTTAATTACAGGACATTATTAAAATAACATGTTAAGGATGAAATCCAGTTCTATTCATCCAAAATCAAAAAAGGCCATGTCAGGCTAATAAGCTACTTCTTCCTAGTTGGGAACATTTATCTGGTGTTTTAAAAATTATAAGCTGAAATTTGACTCTATAAATGTATACACTGAATCATAATCATGACAACGTTCACTATACAAATGTTAATTTGTTTGAAAACACAGTTGACTCTGTCCTTAAATTTACATTTCATGGAAAAAAAAAAATCAAAGAATGAAGTAGTTAATTATAGGGACACATGTTTGTAGGGGACCTACCCAAATAGCTAACAGCTCTGCAGGGAGACACAGGATCCTTTAAATGAACAATAAAATGATGGAAATTAAGTTAATTTCCTGGTAATTTCTGTGCATTTCTAGGGTTGTTTTTTGTTTGCTTGGGGGAAGGGTGTCTGTTTCGGGAAGTTTTTGTCTGGTTGGTTGTTTTATTTAACTTTTGATGCAATCCCAAGGGCTGCATGCTCCAGGCATGGGGATGTCAGATCAAACCAATGCTTTTTTTGACCCCTTAAGCATTAATGATCAGTCAATAGTCAAGGCAAGCTAAATTAACCATCTAGGTTAGCAGCTTTCTCTACCTCTGAAAATGGTTTTGGATATTTCTAGGTGTCTAAGGTCTGGTGAAGAGGGCATAAGGAGCCTACCTAGCCCAGAAATCAAACAGGCTGCTCAAAGCTCCACCAAAGCAGAAAAACAATGGCAAGCTCTTAATACTTAACCTTGTGACACAGAAAAAGTGCTTCTTTAATGGCTTTCCTCCTCCTGGAGTAAGAGTTACCAACAAATTTTAGAAAGGTGAATGGTTCTGCTTTAGGATTTCATTTTTTTAACGGCTAAAAAGAAATCTAAACAGTACCCATTGCATGGTACAGAGAAACATCTGCTAGAAGTAATTTCTTTATACTCAAGGCTACAATGTTACCCTTCATTGCACAGAAACCCTTCATTGTGTCTGTCATTAAACCTGAAAAACTTTCACGCATGAAACAAGGAAAGGCTGGGGGAGGAACCCTAATGTTTAGTTTTGGCTATGCCTTTTGCCTTTCTTCTGAGATGAAAAACAAAATGTATCTGGACTCTTCTAGCTGACAAAACACTTTTCAGACCTTGGCTATTGGCAAAGGCAGCTGAGGGGAACAATTGAGATGTAGCATGGAAGGTTATCAAAAAATGACAATAGGTTGAATAGTCTTAAATGGTGGAGTTTAGTAAACAATTTCAGCCCCTTTGACCAAGGCCAAAATGAAGAAATACTGACTGCTTCTGTAAACAGTCCCACATAAAATAGTACTAAATTTCAGCAATGTTTCTGTAACAAGATGGTTTAAGAGGGACAAAAATCTGTAAGGGTTGGCAGCTACTGTACACCGCTTCCAATTTTTCAGGAAAAACAGCCAAGTTTTCCTCCCCTCAATGCAGGGGATTAAAGTGATCATGCTAGAATACAAATAGAAATAATCTTGGGATTTCTATGCTAAGTAGAAGCAAAACCAAGTATTTGTTTCTGATGGGAAATGTCAAATATGGAAGTTTAAACTTCTTTTTTTTTAATTACTGAGCAGATTCACAGTGAATTTTAAAAAGAAGGCATTGCCTTGTGTTAAATACATAGAAATTTTGAGAGGCACTTTAGAAATTCAAGCTTACAGATTAGTTTTCAAATTCCATATGCTTTTCCCTCTTCCCAAATATCTGACTTCTGCCCTTCTTTACTTTGAAAAGAGGAGTGAAAAGGTATATACTAATTCAGCTTGAGTGCTGACAAGCCATTTGCCAAAATGCTATAAATGAAACCTCAGCTTGCTGCCCAGACCAGCAGAACATATCTCCCCTGTGCTTGGCATAACATTTGATGCACTTTTTTGGTATGCTGAAAATTCCTTTATATTGATTAAACATGATAGAAGTGGGACTTTTTTTTCAGAATCAGCACAACGCTCTTTTTTTTTTTTTCAAACTTTAAAACTAGAGAATAAATGTTATTATCCACTTTCAGCTAAACTGCAGACTGATACTAAAGGACTACATTTCCATTAAGATTGAGGAAAATGGACTGTTATCAGCCCAGGAAAGAACAGCTTGTCCGTGTTTCCCTACCTATAGCAAAATGAAAATAAATACAGTGAGTGGATAGAGATTCATTTTGTAAATTTTCCTCATTACACCTTCCCTCTCTGCAACACAGTGAGAACAGCTGGGACTAATCAAGGGTCTGAATGAAATAACATGGTCCTAACAATATCCTATCATATAAAGACTTTACAAGTCTATAGTAAGCTCAGTGTGTTTTTTTCTTATTTGTAGATATTAAAACTAGTTGTATTGTTAAATGTGGTAAAAAGCATACCATGTGCTATGATCAGCACCACGTTTTCTTCTCAGTGTTGGTGTAGAGTAAAAAAGAAGGGAAAAATGTTTAAATTTTTATTAATGCTGTGAAAAAAAGGAAGGGATGGGTGCTTTTTGATTCCAATCCAAATTCATAATGCACTATGACAAACTTGCTTAAATATATTGAAAATCTGTATGCAGTCTGCTTATCTTTTTCTTCTTTCCCTCAGGTACACAATAATCAGAAAAGAGCTGTGGTGCAGTTGTCCTGTTATTTCAGAAACCTCTCTGAATCCCTCTTTTGATGGCAGGCTAATGTCATGTGAACAGGGAGCCGAGAACATCACGCGCTGCAATGCACAGAAAGACACTGCCCCAGCCCTCCCGTTTCATTTTGTCCTTTTTCTCAAAAACAGACACACAATTACCCTTTACCATTTCTTTATGTTTTTTTCAAGCTACCAAATTAACACAAATTTATTTTTAAGGCATTATCCCCTTCCATTCATAATAATACAGTGGGAACACTATCAACACCTGGTGCTTTATTGTTCCTGGGTGTTCTGGTTTCTTCTTTGTTCTTCTAGAAACAGCTCAGCTGCCTGGAAAATGCCTTACTGGGTAAAACACTCCCTCCATCTTTCTGTAATTACATTCTTCTAACTAAGTCTTCCATTTTTGTCCCTTATCTGAATTATACACTGTTCATGTCCTTGTCTCAAATGCTGATATCCCAGGGAAATGGTCTGAAGTTATCTTATAATGCTGCCACTTCTACTGCACAGAGCCCTTTTTGTGCTGCACTGTCTTCCTGCTGAATCATTTGCATTACCAGAGGACTTAGGGGAGTCACAAAATCATCACCACACATTGCTTTCTTATACTCCTCATCAGAAACTTTTTGTTTTGTTCATTCTATGTTTTTCTCCTTCTCTATTTTTTTTTTCTTTGACTCCAAGTGTTTTCCACATGGTATCAAATTGCTCCACAATGATCAAGTGTGTTCCCACCTGCACACTTGGTATCCTCTGATAAGTTCACATGGTAGGATGTATTTCCAAATGCTGATACAAATTATCCACCTCTCTTCCAGTGCTCCCGCATTTCTTCCCTCGCTATTTTACATATTTTAGCCCTTTCTGTACAATGATGCCATGTTTTTCACACATTCCACCAGGTCTACCAGCATTTATGGGCACTCAGAACAAAGGATATGGAATAATGCCCACTGTGAATCACATCATGCTCTTCCTTACAGAATTTTATTATAAAATATACAAAACAACGCGTTTCTTCATACTTCTTGAAAAGTGATGAAACCAATAACCGCAAAGTATACAACTTTGAAAATTTCAGCCCAGGTCACAGAATTTTAGTAAAAAAATACGCTAGTTTATAAACTTTCTTCAAACATTTTTAGTCAGTGCCTCAAATCCTCCCTTGCCCCTTTCAAAGAGTAGACGCGGCACTCGGTGCCCCGGTCTGCTTGGTAAGGTGGTGTTCGGTCACAGATTGGGCTCAATGGCCTCAGAGTTCTTTTCCCAACCGCCTGTTCTGTGATTCCCACCCTGCCTCCCAGGCTCTCCCTCGAGCTTCACGGCCGCAGCATGAAGTTGATCCCCGCTTTGTGCCGCACCTCCTTACACTGCCTTGAGGCCCCTCAGCCTCCCCTGGGGCTCCGAAGCAGCGTGGCGGACACCGGGACCGCGGGCACGCGTTTCGGTTTTGTTTTAAAGCCCCCCGGGCCCGCTCCCTGCCCGCCTCGGGCGGCCCTCAGAGCGCCCGGCGGCACCGCCCCGTCCTCCGCCGTGCCGCGCTTTCGTCACGGCTGCGCCCATGGCTCCACCGCCCCGCCGGGCCTCGACCGTTGTCACCGAACGCGTAGTGTCCTCGCCGGTACCGCGGAGTCACGTTATCCTCGGATTTAACATTCGGGCAGCGGGAGCTTGACTCGAATCTGCGACCGCCAAAAGCCAGCCCGCCCCTGCCCCTGCGCCTCCAGCGGAACCGGAAGCGGCGCCATTTTGTTTCGGGTGATGGCGGCTGTGGTGCTGTGCGGCCGGGGGCTTTAGCGCGGGCCTGGCCGTGCGGGGACTCGCTGCTCGGACAGTCGGTGCTCCTGCGAGCTGCCTCCGCCTCGCTGCGCTCCCCGGTGATGTACGGAGGGCTCGGAGGCTCTCGACGGACTGCAGAAGAAGCAGGCCCGCCGCCCCTAATGTTGTTGTCAGGCGGGGGAACGGTGCCCGGCCCCCCCGGAGGAGGTGGAGGTGGAGGCGGGAGTAGCCGTGTGGAGCTGCTGGTGTTCGGCTATGCCTGCAAGCTGTTTCGGGATGATGAGAAGGCTCAGTACCAGGAGCAGGGGCGACACCTTATTCCTTGGATGGGAGACCCCAAGATCATGATCGATAGGTCGGTGTAACACAACCCCCAGACTGTGCTGCGAGATCTCCTGTGATAGCCTCTTTCTGTTCCCCCCCTTGTGCTGTGGGCAGTGAGGGCGGGGGTTGAGCAGACGGCTCGCTCTGGCAGGCGCGTCGGGATCTTCGTGACGAGGCTGGAGGCAGCTCCTCCCGGCACGGCGCTCCGAGGGTGCTCTGGGGGCGCTGCAGGGCCCCCCGTCTCCGGGAACTTGGGGTTCCCGCTCCGGCAGCGCTGGGAGGTCCCTCTTGGCAGCGTGTGATGGGTCTTGCTCCACTTGCTCCACTTGTCAAGGCAGGGTCGACAGTGTGGAGAGTGGGAATGATCTGTTCCTTTTCAGTGCAAACCACAAACATCCTCTATTTTCACTTGGAATCCAAGGGAGCCTGTTTGTGGGTGTATTTATTAGGCACATTGTATGTTCTGTAGGTGAGAACGGGGCAGTGTTGGGAGTGGAGAGGTGTTTATCCACCTTAAAGGAAATGGGGATTTCCTGTTTCTCCTACATAATCTGGCTGCAGGCTGTTGATGGGACACCCCAAAATCAGTTCTTGGTCTCTTTACTTTTCCCGGTGCCATGATTTACTGTGTTAGACAGAATGGATTTGATTTTGGGTGCTTGCTCTTGAAATTTTATGTCAGGGTTGGCTTCTTTTGGTTGTTCTGCCGTAGGTCCGGGTTTGTGGCCGCAGAGAGTAATAGAATCTGCTTTGATGCTCCTTCTGATCTCTTGAGTTGTTTCAGCACTGCAGGGTGGGATTTGGAAACAAACTCATTCAGAAAGGGTTACCTGAATGTTTTGTTGGACAAAGTGAAGATGGGAGATCGGGTTGGTTATGTTTGAGTGGAGCACTGAAAGAATAATTAGGAGTTGTGGCTGACCCTGAAAACCTCAGTGGGAAAGATGGAAGGATTTTGGTTTGAAAAGGGTCACATAACATACTATAGATATTTGTTCCCTCAGTTTCATCACTGCTTTGGTGCTAGACAGGATTTTCTTATTTTGACTTAAAAGCTGTATTTATCTTGGAAAAATGTCAGTAGGGAAGGTCTTTTGATTGCCTTCCATAGGACTGGAGAAAGAAGAAATGCCCTTGCACTGTTTTGGTGCTTACACCATTAATGATCATTGTCATTGAAAGAAATTTGTTAAATTGGAGTAGACATGAAGGCAGGACAAAACAGCCATAAATATTTGTAGTTTTGTTTATATCTCACACAACAATAGAAGTGTTGTGTTGCACACTTCTAATTAAAATAATTACTGTGATTGATCTCATTCATAGGTAGAGGCTGGTTTTGAGGTGCTCTACAGCAGAGCCCCATTCGCAGGTGTTACAGAAATTGTAGGGAGCAAACACTAAGTATGTGCATGTCTGTGCACACATACTGAAATACCAAATAACATAGATTTGTGAATTAAGGCACCTTGAAATTGCTAATCTTATAAACTCCTTTGGAAGCTTAGATTCCTTTTATCTCCAGCAGCAGGAAGTCTTCATTTTCACCATTTTGAGAAAAGCACATTGCTATGAGAAGACTTGGGTTCAAGTTTGCCTGTGGACAGATCTTGATTAACCAGACCTATGTTTCATTTGCTTTTTGCTATAAGAATATTTACTTTCTTTGTTTTTGGTCTAGCAAGTTGGCACAAGTCAAGAGTTGTGTGTGGGAAGACACCTCAGCGGAGTCGAGCTTACTGTCACTTTACTTTCCAATCAGCTTCTCTTACTGATACATAAACATTATCCCAATGCAGTGCTTTTCCTGCAAATAAAGTGATTTCTTAGTAGAAAGGAACTGTACATCTTTGATCTTTGCCGATTTTGCGGTGAACCTCCTTAAATTGCATGTTTATGTTACTGTTCCTATGTATGTGTGTCTCTCTATCACATAACCCAGAACTTATTTCCTCAGCCAAATGGCTAGGGGCCGAGCCTAGCCATGATTTTACCTCCAATGGACGCAAGTTTCTATGGTGAAGATTTCTCCTGAGAGTTCGGGACTAGCAGAAAGAAGCGAGGAAATTTCGACCGTTTGGTTCTTACGGATAGGTATTTATGTACTCGGGTTTGTGTGAATGTAAGCTATTTGACTTTCCAGAAAAACGTATTTTGCAAGTGGCATTGATTGGTTGGTTGAAGCACGTACGGTAAGAGCTGTTAAGGAAGTGGATCCCACTTAAACTATTAAAGGATACCTTTGCCTTTAATTGTAATAATTTATTAGTTTCTTTGAGAGGAATTTAGACTATTAAACAAATTTTCGATAGTTGGTGACAAATGATTAGCAAAATTAATTGTAACTTCTAAAAGGGAGTATGCATTAACATATAAGTTTGTTTGTTTTTGTTTTTTTTTTTCATTTTTATTGGGTAAGTATTTAAGTATCACATAAACTCAAACCCTAAGTTCTTTGCATTGACCAGTTGTTTCATCCTGCAGGTATGATGGGCGTGGTCACCTGCATGACCTTTCTGAATATGATGCTGAGTATTCCACCTGGAACAGAGATTATCAGTTGTCCGAAGAGGAGGCTAGAATAGAAGCCCTCTGTGATGAAGAGAGGTATTTAGCCTTGCATACGGACTTGCTTGAGGAGGAGGCAAGGCAAGGTATTGCTCAAGGCATAACATGGTTATTTAAAAAAACAGGTTTAAATAAATTATTATGAAACTAAATTTACTCCTAATTTTATACTCTCTTTTTCTGATGTTATCTTGACAGTACCCAGTGGATTCGAAAAGCAGCAGTGTTTGCGTATGTGAGAGGACCTCAGGATAGTTTAACTGTAGATCCACACAGAAATTGCCCAGATTCTGAAGGCAGACTGGGATTTCAGACCCCCCAAAATAAACACATTCTGCTTCATTTTTAGTGTTGTTTAAAGGAAATTCTGTGCTTTTATATGCATAATTACTTTAGAATGTCTTAATCCATGGCCTGTGTCTCTTTGAGAAGAAATAAATGGTCAGCATGTGTACATGCTGTGGGTTTTTGTTCACTTTTTAATGAAAGCTAAAATGATCAGGACAAAACTTATTTTTTAAAAACTAAAGTAAGAAATATTACTTCTTTTGTAATAAATTAGCTTCTGAATATGTTCTAATGTTGGTAATTGCATTTTTGCTCAAGAGGAGGAATATAAAAGACTCAGTGAAGCTTTGGCAGAGGATGGTACCTACAATGCAGTGGGATTCCGTTATGGCAGTGATTATTATGACCCTTCAGAACCCACTGAAGAGGAGGAGCATCAACCTTCAAGACAAAGAGGTAAGGGGTTAAAATAACGGGTTAATTGAGAGGGAGGACATAGCATTTCTGTCTTGCAGTTGAGGGTTTAAAACATATTTGCTATTAAAAAGCAGTAAAAATTTTAAGAGCATATCATCAAAATCTTTATGGGACTCTGTTACTGAGTTTTTGCAGACTTTGTTCTCGATGAGCTTAAAAATGTTTTCCCGCTATAGCACAGTCAATACTGCAGTAGTCAAGGAATTTAATTCTGCTGTTGTGCAGATTCTTAATCAGAAAAAAATAGTAATTCCTTACATTGGCTGTCTGCTAACACTGTTTCTCAGTCAAGATGAAAAATATCATTGTATGCATAAAATAGTAATTAATAAGAATGTATATTTTGAAGTTCAGATTTTTTCGTCTTAGCTGCTATAAATGAGTCTGTCTTCCACTTAGTGTGCCCTGCTCCATGACCTCAAAAATACAGAATTCAGTTGTCATGTTCTCATCTATAATTCCAGTAACTTCATATTTTTATCATACATTCTTAAGGATGGTTTCAAATGTTGTTGAACTATGTCTTAGTATAATGAAAATTGTTTAATTAACAATTGGGTTACCTAACTACATCTTGGTGGGTCACTGTGGTATGAAATGTGGTTTTTTTCCCCCAAGTTGTTGTGTTGCAGTGCAAGATCATTTTAGGTGTTAAAGTTCATTTGGTGTTTTTTGCTGTGTCAGAGAGATTGTGTACTTTTGTACTGAAGCAGAATTGATTGTCTTTTGTGGAGCTTAATTCATTTGCTTAAGACCCTATAATCAAATACTGCTAGCTGGAGCTGCTGTCAAAAGAAACAGTCTATTCTTGTCTGCTGCTCTTTCCTTCTTTCTTTGCTGCTGAAATTTCTCTGTACGTTTGTGGAGTTAAACTATTTGAGTTCATTACAAAAAACAAAGCAAAAACAAACCCACCAGAAAGTAACTAAACAAGTGAATTCCCTTTGTTGCATGGTTTGTCCTCAGTAATCACTGCAACATCCCATTCCTAATGAGGTTGTTCTGCTGTTTCCATAGCTCCTGTGGTCAGGTGTTCCTGCACTTGTTCTAATCTGTCAGGGGAAAAGGGGAATACAATTTCTCTTAAAGCTAATGGAATAGATAATACTATAAGTAACTTTAAAAAGTAAGCTTTTTACTTGAATTATTATAAAAATCTGTAAAGCAGAGTATTTTCAGAGAAACATTTCTGCTATAGCAAATAATGGAATGTAATACAAATGATTCTTTTTAACCATATTTAAATGTCTTCAGTATAAATGCTGTTTATACAGCTGCATTTGATTAATTCCTTGATTGCACATCATTTTAGAAATACTTTATTTCAATTTTTTTTAAAGATTTGTGTACTTTGTTTTTTCTTTCCTAAATACTTTGTTCTGGCATTTCTTGCAGAAACAGTTCAGACAGAAAATACAGAGGAAAATGAGGAACCTTTTGTTGCCCCTCCAGGACTGAATGTACCTTCTGATGTGGAACTGGTATGTGTACATGTCATGCATTCTACACTTCTGTCAGCTTTTGAGCAGTTGATGGTGCTCTGTTAGGTGGTTGGGTTTGGTTTAATTAACTTTCAGTATGATACATTTTAAATTATTCTGATATAGTAAGTTAATTTCAAATGTTGTGCCTTGAACTCTTGAGTTCTATGAACACCCTTGAATCTTCTTTTTCACACTGAAATGATTGCTGTGCTTATGCTAAGTGCATTTGGTATCACTTGTGATATTATTTTAGCTAATGCAGAGAAGAGGCAGTTGTTCTTGGAATGGATACTTGCTGAGATGTAAAGTTCAACATTCCAAACATATAAGGACTGTTAAACCAAACGTTTGCTTCTGTTCAAGATTTCTTTTCTAGAGTCTTTTTAATTGGGTCCCAGTCTGAATGGGATAGGAACTGATCAAATGTTAATGCTCTATATAAAACTAACATATTCAAGGAGAAAAACAGTAATTTATTTCTAGCAAAGTCTGAAGTACCTTCAAAGCATTAGTACATAGAGGCTCTTTCCTTTATGTGATGTGGCTAGAATTTGCTAAGTGAGTGTTTTGTAGACTTAATTGGACTTGTGTATTGTTCTTGAAGGGAGCTGAACAGACACCTGCTTGAGTACATGTCTAACTGTAAGGGTTTTCATTGTATTTCAAGTTTCATAAAAGGTGCTGGAAAATCAGGTAATATTCTTTCTTGTATAACTGTCGTCATGAAAGTGTTAATTTAGTTGTGGGCTCATCTTGGTATTCTCACCTTGGTAACCTTGGCCAGTGAAAATTCAGAACACTCAGTTAGAATAAGTAATAGTGAGTGCAGAGTATTTTTGTAACTGTTTCTATTCTTCATTAGCTTTTATTTAAAGAATCTTGAGTTTTCAGAGAAAACCTTATTTTGCGTTTTGATTCCATTTCCAAAATGTACCTGCTGGTGAAAGAGTGTTGTTTTAGATACCTGCCTGGCTTGAGTTTTTTCTGAAATTTAGGCTATATTTCCTGCGTATGTTGCATAGTGCAGTGTGGGGCTTACTGAAGGAATTTTTCAGTCAGCTGTTGGACTCCATTGTATTCACATAAACAGAAAGCAAATATAGTTGTATTTGGTTTTGATTAAAACAAAAATAAACCCAGCAAATATGAAAATGTCTAGACAGCAGCTCTGAAAGCAGTGTATACATAACCTTGGATTGGGAATTGTGAGAATTTTTTTGTAATCCTTGATTTGTTGTTGCTGTTCTATTCAAGTAATTCAGCTTTACCATGGAAGATACTTATTCTGTTTAAATTTAAGAAATTTGAGAATCAGCTTGCTAGACTGGGAGACTTTGCTCCCGGTCTGCAGGTTGTAGTTCAATAAAGACAGATACTTTATATCTCCTGTAATACAGATCAATGCAAAGTGGAAATACTTAATGAAGACAAGTCAGGCAGCAAAAAAAACCCCATCCAGAACTATGGAATGTTCAGTGTATGGCAGCTGCAATTGCAGCAGTAATGTCAGTCTGGAACTTAGAATAGAAGAACTGTGAGAAGCAGGCCAAAGGTCTTCCACTGTTCAAAACTGATTATGGGCAAAGATGATTGTTCTTCACCAGGGCACTTTAAGAAGTCTGTGGATGCTCTTGAAGTGGGCTGTTAGAGGAAATTTTCACTTAATAACTTCTGAGGAGAGATAGAAACAGAAAAACTTGATACATGATGTGAAACTGATAATGCACAAAATATTATCAGTTTAAGAGCCTCATTGCCTCTCATTAAAATAATCTTTGCTGGGGTTTTAGAGGGAGAAATAAAACTTGAAACAACTAGTTATTTTTCATATTGAACATGTCCTGATAAAGGATCCAATTGGCAGAAAACAGCTTTTAAAATTGGGCTGTTTGATAGTGTTCAGACTTTTTTCCCTATTTGGAGCACCATTGTTCAAGTGTTTCCAATCTGCTGAGAAACATTTTTTGAGATTTGCAACATAGCTGTGTATCTGTGCAGTAAAAATGCAGAGCTAAACCAAATCATTAATGTGGCGCTTCAGTCTTGGTAGGCACACAGATTGGGTTTTTTTTCAGTTTACTGAATACAAGACAAAACAGCTGAGTATGAAATTAAAAGCAGTGAATAATGTTCATTCATTCTTTGACTGTACTCTTGTTCCCTTCACACCTTGGGGTTGCTATTGCGCTGCTCCCTAGGGATTTCTGGAGTGAAAAAGGATGGATGCTGCTAAGCTTTATTTATTTTATCTTTTGCTTTATTGCTGAAGTGTTCAGTGACCTTTCAAGGGAATGGACGTGGGAATTGAAGTTTGTATGTTGGTCTTGAGAGGCAACATGTTCTTCCTAAGCAAATATGAAGTAAGAAGTTTCTAGTTAGGGAGCAATATTTGCGCATTCAGAGATAACAGAATTAAGGACGGCTTTTGGGAAGGAAATGATACATGTTGAGTCTTCAGAGCACCTTGAGATATTGTAACCCCAAGGTCATCCAGGATCTGTTGCCCTCTTCAGTTGGTGTTCAGTGCAGAAACAGCTGTGCTGGTAAAGGAAGAGGATCTTGCAAAAGGAATGGAGTGAGCAGCTGAGGAAGTTTGGGACTGTTTTGGTTATTTTTTAGGGCTGATGTACTTTCACTAGTTTTAAGTGATTATGAAACTTAAGTTGCTAAAGAAAGCCAAGAAGGACAGGGAACTACTGTTCGTTCTGATTCCCTTTGGAATTCTAACACACTGTACAAGCTGTATATGAAAATACAAATATGTGTTATTTTACTCCCACAGCCACCAACGGCAAAAATGCATGCGATCATTGAGCGAACTGCAAACTTTGTGTGCAAGCAGGGAGCCCAGTTTGAGATTATGCTGAAAGCCAAGCAAGCACGCAACTCCCAGTTTGACTTTCTGCGGTTTGATCACTACCTCAATCCCTACTACAAGTTCATCCAGAAGGCAATGAAAGAAGGACGTTATGCGGCTCCTTCAGAAAGTAAAGCTGATGAGAAAAAACGTGAGTTGTTCCTTGGCAAATGCTGGCTTCAGGATGGGAATCATCCTGAAACACATGCTGGTTGTTTTGTTAAAATAGTTTTTCTGAAATTCATCTGCAGCTGAGATTGATATGATGATTCAAAATTTTGCATAAATTGGAGATTTAAAGGAAAAAATATTGTTTGTGGAAACTTTCAGCTACAGGAGCTGCTATGATATGGAAGTTTTAGAAACAGTCATATAGCTCAAGTCCAACAGAAGGTTGGTCTGTCCATTTAGGATTTAGTTTTATTGATGTTGGGCAATATCTTGGATCTGTGCTTTAGTGACTAAGCTGATTTACATGAATGATGCTTTCCTGAGAATTCATGTATTGAATTGTCCTGTATCATCATTCTCCCCAAAAGCAAAATCATAGCAAACCCAAATAAAATTCAGACATTGCTTTTATTTAGACTCGAGAGTCAAATCTGAGGAAGATGATGATGACGATGATGACGATGATGGAAATTATCTTCATCCAAGTCTTTTTGCATCTAAAAAATGCAGTAGGCTTGAAGAGCTCATGAAGGTACTTGACATTAATAAAATTACCTTTTTATCTTGTAAAACACCTGATTCATGGACACAGAAATTCTAATATGCAGGTGCTCAGGTCTTTTGTTGACAAAGGTCTGGGGTTCTTTTCAGACTATAATTTAAGTCTGTTTTGGTAAACTTTTGAGTTACCTTTTCTCTAGTACACAAATTGTTATTTTTCCATTTCCAAGGAATTATATTTCTGTTTCTGATGCCCTCTGGTATTGAGGGCACCACTCAGGGATTTATCCTACAGAACCTGTGTTGAAGCAAAGAGATTAAGGTATTTTATGCCTTCTGTAGATAAGCTGAGAGAGAAATCTTTTTCTTCTTAGATTTTATTAGATGAAATGTTGACATGAAATAACAGTTCCAGCAAATAATAGTTCATCAGAATTTACTACTCATTAAATGTAAATTTTGCTAGATGTGTTAGTTGTTTTTATTTTCTGACACTGGGCAGTGATGGAATAATGGGAGTGACAGACAGTTGTATGTATTTTGAGGCTTTCAGAGGAATGGCTGTGGTGCTGTCTGATATTTAGAGAAGGCAGGTTTTGTGCCTTATCCCAGACATGGCAGTCATTGGCTAACGGGAATAACCCCTTTTTTTTTTTTTTTGTTCTGTCATTAATTTCTGTTTACATTAAAGTGGTTTTTGTCTTGTTTTTCACTTATTTTCAAATGCATTGTTTCTGATATGAGAGCTACAAAAACAGTAACTTCAGTATTTACACATAATTATTGATGTCTATTAACATAGATAAATTTGCTTTCCCAAATATGTTGATGCTACTGTTCCTTTAAAATATGTACTTCCAATTTTAATCTTTTTTCCTACTTCAAAATATTTTCAGCCTTTGAAGGTAGTAGACCCTGATCACCCCCTTGCAGCACTGGTGCGCAAAGCACAATCAGATAATAATTCATCTACACCACAGTCAACAGACGGGGCAGCTGTGCAGACACCACAAGCAGAATATTCCTCTGATTGTAAGTGCTTTGTGGGGAGGCAGCTGGTGGTGTGTTTTGATGAATTGTGTGTGGATGCTGGTGGGAAGAGAATATGTTGGCTTCATGCTTCATCCTGTGTATTTGTTCTTTTGCAATCTCCTGCATCTTTGAAGGTCCGTTCTGAGTATCTGTTGAATTGCAGCTCAGGAAAACCAGAAATTGGGGGAGAGGGGGGGGTGGTGGGCAGGCAGGAGGCCAAGTCTCCAGTCTGTGAGTACATTTAGCACAATACCCTTATTACTATATTATTTTGTTCCTGCAGATTTTGTAAATTCTGATACTTAAAAAGATAGTCAAGCTTAAATGAGTTTATGTGCCTCTTAATTCTTTTCAGCTTTCACAATTCTGAAAGTCCTTGATTGCTTAAATATAGAAATACAACTTCCCCTTCATTTATGGGGCTGACAATGTAACACTACTGAGATATAAGAAAATTTGTAGTGAAGCCTTCGCTACAGTAGAGTTTCATGTTATTATACATTTGTAAGTAACAAGTAGTGTGATGCTGATTGAATTCTTGGTTTTTCAGGAATGTTGCTGCAGATCAGTTATCACCATAATAATCTGAGTTGATTCTTATGCATTATAGATTCAGAACCCCCAAAGGATTACAGGTGTTGTCAGTGTAATGTGTGGGGAGAAATATGCACGGAAGTAATTTGTATTTAAAACTGTACCATAAGGAAATCTTAAAATGGAAGTAAGATTTCTGTGAAGAAATTGAAAATCACTGGTTATTTCAAGAAAGACGAAAATCAGAATAAGTATCTTGATAGAACAGAGCTAGTCAGTTTTTTGATTACTTTCATGTCAGGTTTGAACCTGAATGTATGTGAGAGAAACTGGGAGATTATAATTTAGTACCAAAACAAGGTCAGTTTCCCTGCTTTTAAAACTTAGCAGAACTTTGTTCTGTTCTTGTTACAGACAATTTCTTCTTTGAAGAAAGTAAATACTGCCACATGAGAATGTTTATGAAACTTTTAAGAGAATAATTAATTGAAATCTAATGCATTTATTAAACCTTGCTTCCAGAAATGCAAACTCTTACTGCAATTAATTTTAAATACTTTACATTAATATTTTCTTTTTATACATAGTTCTTCTGCAGGAAACACATTTATATGGTGGATACTTCTTGTAAATCTATTAAGCTGATTAGAGCATTATAAAATACTGTCCTTAAATAGAAGATAGAAAGACATAATATGCCTTTGCGCTCTCAAGAAATATTTAGAATCAGAGAAGCCTTTACTGCAAAAAATGTGTGCAAATGCATGGTTTATTATGTTGCTGTTGATTTGCAAAACCTGTCTACTTTTTGAGGTTTAAGTAAAGTAGGTGTGTCTCTATTTATAGTAATATAAGGGTTTAATATGTATATAGTGATTCTAGTGGTTTAGTTTGTTAATGCTAATTTTGAATGTATGTATATTTCTTTCTTAATGAAAGCATAGTTTAATGGAGTTAAATTGCCAGACATTAATTAGATTAGGAAGTATGATTTCACACTAGCTCCTTTTCAAATATGCCTGCTCTAGTTCACTTCTTTATTCACTTCTATGACCTTCAGTACATTTGCATTCTGTCCCTTAATCTACATATTTCTTACTCACCCTAAATCTGTTAATATGAGCCTTTCCTTTTTTGCTTTGGGTTTGGTTTTGTGGGTTTTTTTGACACAAGAAATGAGATGCCATTTCCTAGTGTGTTATGTGAATCCGGATTCTGGATGTGTTTGTATTGATGTAATAATGCATTGCATTGGGTGGTTTTCTTCTAATTAGAAGTTTGTTCTTAAATGTGTCTTTGTAGCAACTGTGGCAGCCATGTATTACAGCTACTACATGCTCCCTGATGGAACCTATTGCCTGGCGCCTCCACCTCCGGGAATCGATGTTGCTGCCTACTACAACGCCCTGCCCCCCGGGGTGACAGTGTCCGGCGCTACCGGGGTAGCGACTGTGCCTCCCCCTCCTGGCACCACACCCCCGCCTCCCCCAGACTCAACTGACACCACCAGTGCGTTGGCTTCTACCACAACATCTACAAGGTACCTCAGACGCGTTCGCTTGTTGGTTGGGCGAGTCTTGTTCCTGGACTTCAATACGGAGTGTTTAGTAAGGGTTCTGTTAGTGAATCAAGCTATTTTAACTGTGTGACAAACACAGAGAACAAACCTCTCTGTATTTTTTGTTTGTTTGTTTTTGGGGGTTTTGTGTTTTAGTTTTTTGTTTGTGTTGTGTTTGTTCGGTTTTGGGTGGGCTTTTGGGTTTGTTTGCTTTCCTTTCTTTTTTTGTTAAAGCAAGAGTCTGAAAGATATTTATGTTCTATTTTAAAAAACCATTTACTCTTGACATTTTCAGCACAATTGCTCCAGTGGTTGCCATTATACCTCCACCACCAGATATCCAACCTGTCATTGACAAGCTAGCTGAGTATGTTGCTAGGAATGGGGTAAAATTTGAAACTAGTGTTCGTGCCAAGAACGATCTCAGGTAAGAGAAAATGTTATTTAAACTGCTATTTCAAAAGTTAAAGTTTTAATTTTTTAAGATATTAAATTACAGGACATGCAGGTTTTGAAAAGAAAAGTGTTATCGTTTGTTTGCTTGTTTTTTAAATTGAGATTTAGGGACGTACATAGTGGCAATGGGAAAGCATTATTGCTCAAATTATCAAAACAACCAATGTGTCAAAAATCTCTCTAATAAGCATGCTCTAAATTTGTATCCTCTGAAGTTTAGGCTTAAGTAAGAGTGCTTCCAAACATCAAATAACATTCCATTTGCTAGAGAAGACTAGATGATAAGGGATTGTTAGTATTATCTGTGTTCATGTGCATCTTCACATGCTCAATTTTCTTTCAAAAGGTTTGAATTCCTGCAACCATGGCACCAGTATAATGCATATTATGAATTTAAAAAACAGTTCTTCCTTCAAAAAGAGAGCGGTGACAACTGCCAGGTACATGTATTTTTATATATACTTCTATTAAAAATGCCGTAAATGTGAGAAAAGGACTTGCCAGTTGTCTTACCATGAGTCATTTTAAAAGTGGAACGCTGAATTAGGGAGAAATTGATCAGCAAAGGATGTGAATGCTTTTTTTTGGTTTTTGGTTTTGTACAGCATTAAAGTAAGGATCTGTGAGATGGTGTGATATTTAATTCTTGCTTTTTATTATCTGCCACTCCACTGTGGCTGTAATATAAAATGACAACCTGAAAATCTTCTGGCTTTCTATACGAGCGAAATATGCTGTGTGTAGGTTTTGAGCTTTGTAGGATTGTGATTAGTGTTCTGCTGTCAGAAAGGTTAGCTCTGGCTTTTAACCCCCATACCTTCCCATATGCCTCGTCCTTCTTTGTCCAACAGTAGCACAGAGGCTGGAGGAGCTTTCTGATGTGCCTTTTTCTGAGGGAGGTTTTGTTAGAGTCCAGTCATGACTGCAACAGTACTGAAGCTTCAGAATCTCACAGCAGTTTCCTACTTGCTTTGCTTCTTCTAGTCCGTGTTATTAGAAGGTGGTAGCCATACTTGGCATCCATGTTTTTAACTATTCTCATGTTAGCTATTTAGATTGTTCTCTTACTGAAAAGAAAATTGCAAATAATATCAGAACTACATTATCTGATGTTAACTTTTCATGGGAAAGAGCTATTTTTTTTTTAGGCCCTATGTCATTTGTCATCTCAAGGCTTAGATTGGGGAGCCTTAAACTGAAGAAGGTAGGCCTGTGGGTAAACTCCTCGGAATTGCTTTGTGGAAAATGAAGAAATTCAATAATGGTTGCTGTTTGGAACACTTGTGTCTGATGTTTTGTTTTAATAGTGAAAAAATGTTTTGGAATCACTACTTATAAAGATAAGCTGTGGTAAATATGATCTTATTCAGCTGATAAATTACAACCAAAATTGTCCTGTGCTACAATGCTGACTGTTGTTCTAGAAAGTGTAATTTGCAAACCAGTGGGTTGAATTCATAATACTCACGTAATTAATAAGGACTTGTTAACATGTACTTGGGGGGAAATTGTACACTAACCAAAGCGTAATAGTAAGGGATTCATTTTAAATGTTCAAATGAGTACAGCTAAAAAGGAACTGAAGCCAGTTTAAGTCCCTTGACGTCGAGCGTAGCAATGCATATTTTTGTACTGCATGGCTTTGTAGATAATGCAATTCTCTAAAGTTTCTTAAAATAATGATTTTAATATTATCTTGATGCTGTAGTAATATATCTGTAGGCAACTAATGCAACTGATGCTTTTCCTTTTGGCCATTAAAATTAATAAGAAACCGTACTATTGACTTCAATAAATACGGGGTGAAGTGCTTGATTTCATTGTGCTTTTCCCCTTCGAGGACTTTCAGAAATCAATTCTGCTGGTCCGGGAATGGCTGCAGGGAAGATCTGCTAAATGCCTCAGTTTCAATGTCATGTATGCTTAACAGCCAGAGCAACCAAACTCTTGGTTCGCTATGTTAAATTACTTAATGTTACCACATGACTCACCGTGTAAATACTTTAAATGTTCTGTAATATCCTTCTTGAAATTTTTTGCTGTGAGTTCAGAAATCACGCTGAATGATTCAGTCGTGTAATGGTAGAACCAGTAATTCTTACTTCCTTGAAAATCTCAGCACATCTGTTGCAACAAAAACCTTGCTAGGCCCAGTGTTCTTCAGCAGAATGTTGGAACAAATCGAACATTATTCCTGTGAAATCTGATTATGCAAAAAATTCACATGCAGTTGTACGTGAGGAAAAAGTGTCATAAGCTTTCACCCTCTCCCTTGGAGTTGACTTTATGGATTTGGTTTGGGACCCTGGAAATCAAGACCTAAATAAATATACAAAAGAAGTACATGCTTTTAGGGTCTATTTTTTAAATATAATTTAAAAGCGGTTTTTGGCAAAAGTGTATGAGCTGAAGAACATTTTTTTTTCTGTAAAATAACACGTTCTTACTGTAGGTCTGTAGGTTTTACAGCCTGTGGGTTTACATGAGGCAGAATTATGGTCATGAGTGCTGAGTGATGTTAAATCAGCTGTTGTGTGATTTGCTGATAATGTGGTTTTTCTAATGGCTGACAAAACTGCAGCTCCACAGACATTGTATTAATGATTTCATAAGTATCCTGTTAGTAATTCTGCTCATTTATTTTGAAAAGGGAGTATCTTCTTCTGAAGATGTTCCATCAGACACTGCCAATGAAACACAGAGTGAGACTCAATTTGCTGATGAGCATGCACCTGAAGATGCATCTGAGCCAAGTGCTAAGGGAGTTCCAGGAACTAAAAAGGATATTCCTCCTAAAGTTGTCAGTGATGGTAAACTGGTGAAAGGTATGGTAACATGATTTATTTGGCATGAAAATATTTGATAACTTATGTATAAAGAAAGAAAAGAAGGCAGGGGAAAGTAGGGAAAAGAGTTTAATCGTGTGAAAAATACATTTTCACTGAAGGCATCAAAAAATGTCTGCAATAAGTAATTTGATTATTTTCATATTTCTTTCTTATCAGACTATCAAGTATTTATGGTCTGACACAATAAATTGTTTTACTTCAGTTTTGTGCAAAGTTGAAGGCTTTTATCAGAGATGCCAGTAAAATCTTTTTTTGTCATTTTCAACTTGACAGTTAAAAGTTTTGTGCAAGAATGAAATCATTCATTCTGAAGAAAAGCAGTGGCCTTATTTGAAAGGATACATGTGGAGGAAGTAGTCTAGGCTTGTTGCTCGTTCTTTTCATGTTGGACATTAGTTATGCTGGAAGAACAGACCCCTTTCATTTCTAAATGAGATGTTTTTCCTCTTGCAGTTATAGCAGCAGAGGGACAGAATGGGAAGATCTCTCTGGAAGCCATTCAAAGCTAGCTAGCACACTGTTAGTGTCCTGAGTTGGAGAAATTATTGTTTCTGTCTGGGAGCTGATTTATTGTCCTGTCAGGAGAAGATATGTTAAAAATTCTTACTTTCACTAAAACCTAAAGTTGTGCATCTTTTAACTAGAACTGAAAGCCATTGAAAAAAAAATCAAAACAGACATAGCACTCTTTAACTGGGCTTCAGTGGATGGAAACTTCCCTCCTGCCACCTGAGTGGCTTACCTAATTACTGATAATTTCATCTACTCTCTGTGGTTCTTTGGAATTCTCTCTTCCCGCTTCTCACTGCGATCCCATTTCCTCCACAACCAGCAAACACTGGGCTCTTTGCTGTGACTGTCTGACTGTCCAGACTCTGCAGTTTCTTCTCTGAACAGCCTGAGTAGCTTCCCTGGTGAAGGAACAATCTTCCCTGCCTTCAAAGATGACTTATTAAGAGCTGCAATGTACACCAAGAAATATGTATTGTTTCAGTTGTCCTGCTATTAGTAAGTGGCAAACTGGAACCTGTACTTTAATGGTAGTAATCTGTTCAAATTTACATAATGGAATATAACCAGTGAGTCATTTCGTGGCAATCTGATTCCTGTAAACTTATTTTCATTTCCTTTAATATGGTACAAATCCCAATTTATTATAACCTAAATGCAGTATTTGCCTCCAAGACAGACATAACATCCATACTAGACTTTTCTTCTGCCTCTGAGGAAATAAAATCCCATTTTAGGATTTGTTCTATCCCGTGAAAAAATTGGAAATCATGGTTACTCTTCCCTTGAAATTCTGGAGTTCTTTGTTTCTGAGCATATTTCCTTACCCCAGGATTACCAGAATCAAAGCTTATCTTTTATAAACCATGGTATGTAATTTAATTACTGTATTTAAATTTCCCTAATTGCAATCTCGTAGGGCATGTATGCAAAAAGCATCTTGAGAAACATAAGTATTGCAGCAGACTGTATGGTACTAAGTAGTGAGAAATTCTGTTCTTCCATTCTTTTTTCTTAAAAGTGTCATTTTGGATAAACGGGTTAGAGATTAATGCTGAGGTTTTGGGTTTGTTTTTTTTTTTTTTTTTGAGATTTTTACACAGCAAATGAAGTTTCCAATGTTTGTTTAAGAACACAGAAGAGTAAAAAAAGGATTATGTTGTCCTTTTCACCAAAATAATTAGCATAATAGGATGATGACTTTTTTTGAGGTGTAGTCTGCAGGAGTAATAGGTGAAGTCAGGAAATTGAACCTGCCTTCTACTGTAGTCTAATGATGTGTGAAATCTTACCCTTTCATTCACAGCATCCTTTGCTCCAATAAGCTTTGCAATCAAGGCCAAAGAAAACGACCTTCTTCCTTTGGAGAAAAACCGTGTTAAATTAGATGATGACAGTGATGAGGAGGAAGAGGAGGGAAAGGAAGGCCAGGAGAACGCTAACAGTGCATCAAACCATACTCCAGCAATTACCGCTCCTTGTACTGCTCCTGAAGAGAAAAAGCCTCAACTTACACAGGAGGAGTTGGAAGCTAAACAAGGTACTCCATGCAGCACTGAAAACAAAATGTATTGAGTTCTTCACACAAACTGTGAAACTGCCATGTGTGACATTGTAGGTGTTTTGAATATTTTCTGTGTCATGTTAATAAGAATGAATCAGAATTTTGTTCTCACAATTTCCTTCTTACTTTTAACAATGAAATCTTCATTCGTTGCTCAGGCAAAATCAAACTTGGAGCACATGGTTGAATGGTTTGTCCTAATGCCTGATCTTTCTGAATTTTATTTTGGTTTTTCATTGCAACCTTCTAGTAAAGCACTGACTGTGTAGTTTCCAGATTGCATTATCAAAGCCCAGCAAAGACATACCTGTTTGTCATTTTCTTCAGCGAACAGTGAATTGCTACAAGCTATTTTTCATTTCTATAGCACTCCCATATAGACTCATATCGCCTTGTTGATGTTTTGTTGCTCTTATAATGCAATGCCATTAAATCTTTGTATGAGTTTTTCCTGTTACTGTGTGAATGTGCATTAGGGCAGAAGGGCATGCTGTGTGAATTTGAATGAAATGACGTTTTAAAAGAATCCAGTTTCACCCATTCCTCCCCAAGACTGTTTCACAGCAGAGTATGCTTATTAAAGTGGATGTTCTGTCAGTATTTACCAGCTTAAAAACTCAGTATTTCTCACAACTATGAATATGCCACAGGTATTTAGTTTTTCATTTTCAAAAAAGGTGGTTTTTGGAATCCAAGTAGCAGTTGCTTTGTAAACTGTAGTAGCACAGAGTATGCTGTGGCTTTACATATCTAAAGCAAATATGAAGTATTTTGTATAATAATAAAAATGAAGTGTAAAACACACTTAGAAAGATTTGTGTGTTGAAAAACCTGTGAACAAAACAATCCAGTTGCCTGTACATACACAAAACACAAAAATTTTAAAAACATTACACAATGTAGCTGTTAGATGCATAGTTAAATCAGTTGGCTTATTCTCTTCATGTAATCACATACAACATGTAATCACACACAACAAAATCTGCTGGTTGTTACAATGATGAAACAGTTTCTGAAAATTTCTGGAGCAGCTCTTTCTATAAACATATTAACATATATTTAAATAGGGCTGGAAACTGTGAAGATCACATCAGTGGAAAGAGCAAACTGGAGAGTTAGCATCACTTTAAGACTTAAAAGAAAGAGCTTCTCAATTTACGGAGCTACTTTCTTTAGGTAGCTTTTATAGATAGAAAAGGACAAGTATCCTGAATAATCAGGATTGGATTTTCTTGTAATTTTAAGTTAAAAGTTTTTGCTTCACCTGCACTTCTTTACGTCTGCTTTACATTAAGCAGATGATGTAGCTATTTATTAAGGTGCTTGGAGTTTCTTAATTTCAAGCTGATGTTCTTATGTCATTGAATGGCTGTATTGGAAAGGCTTGAGAACGGCTGGAGGGGCTGCTTGCTCTTTTGTGATGGGGACAAGTGATTGTTTTAAGGAAGCCTGAGTTCCCAAAGCATGACTCACTCTAAACTTAATGCTTAATTCTCTGTTTAGCAAAGCAGAAACTAGAGGATAGATTAGCAGCTGCAGCAAGGGAGAAGCTTGCACAGGCCTCCAAAGAATCAAAGGAGAAGCAGCTACAAGCAGAACGCAAAAGGAAAGCTGCCTTGTTCTTGCAGACCCTCAAAAACCCTCTGACAGAGGCAGAAACTGAGAAGATTGAGGAGAATTCCTTCAGTAGTGAGGTAAGCAAGAAATAAATTTCTCTTTCCCGTAAAGCTAGTAGAAAACTTACCTCTAGCATGTGACTCTGACAGTGTGTTATGAACTTGATTGATGAAATAGAAGCTTTTCTAAATGGGGAGAAATTTGAATTTTAAACACTGTTAAGCTTTTTCCATTATCTTATGTATGTCTCTCATCTGTCATTAAAGAATTGGTAGAGAAGTAGGCTGCACAATTCCTAGGTCAGTTAGACAGGAAAGGAAAAGGAGCTTCCATATTTTAACTATGTACTAGTGATCCAAGTGTTGGAGTGGTCACCTTGCAAGAGTATTGGGATGGCTTACTTAAGCTGTGATACTTTCTTATTTGATGCGTATATTGGTGGTTTTGTTGTACATTACAAATACTGTTGTACAAATATTGTTGAAGTAGAATCTTGGGTTCCTGGGTTTGGAATTACATTGCTTTCAGAAAAGCCAGTAAAATCACTCTTTGTTGCACTAGTCAAGCAAAATGTAATCTCTGGATAGTGATGGAAAATTTAAGATATTGATTGTGACAGACTGGCTACAAGAAAGAATGACATGGCTTTCCGTTGTTTACTTTCCCTCAGAAAGAATTCCAGTACCTAGCAAGTAATTCATTGCCCAGTTCTTGATTTTTTCCAAATAAATAATGGATTACCCCTCAAAACACTTTCAAGAGAACAGTTGAAAGAGACATACCTGCAGTTTAGGTGATCCATACTAGCAGAGGGTAGCAGATATGTGAATTAAGTGTGGTCACATCCCAAAAGAGATCCTGTTTGGTTTTTCATTGCTACTGCTAACAAATTTCCCCCGACACAAGTGTTCAGTACTTCTCTTTTCAGTTATATATTGAAGAGTGAATGAAAAGAGACAATGACAATGCCAAACATCCCATATTTACAGTTCTGCTCTTTTTCTCAAGGGAATTTGTCAAGGACACGGATATTTCTAAGCTAAGGTTCCTTTGATACTTTTCTTTAAGAGAACGCCTGCAATAACCAGTGACAGCTGACTCTCTTTCAGAAGAGCAGATTAATGTTCTTGCTCACATCTGAACTTACTGCTAGTGAGCTTCTCAACAAAAAACTACACCCTATCCTACCTCTCAGTAAACTGATTTTCTAGAAACGTTTTTTCTTCCACAGAAGTACAGTCTCAGAGAAGGCATCTATTTTTTTCTTACACAAAAAATTCCAGTGTATTTGAGAATGTTAAAATAACCAGTTTCACTCTTTCTTACCAGTAGAAATGTTTTAGAGGTGCTGTCATTATTAAAGGGTTTATTTAGAATTTCATATGTGTATTTAAATGTTTTCTGATGTGGCCTTGCTTTTTAAAAGTAAAATTGGCTATTGTATTGGGAGTGCTTGTACTGTTTTAATGAACAGTCAAAAATGCCATAATGTCTTTGGATGTAATATTCCTGCTAAATGTGATTTGCTTAGCGATACACTTATGTAGATACATGTATATAGACTTCTATAGATAAAAGCTTATTTTGAAACATAAATGTTTTTCAGGCTTGTTTTTCCATTTGCGATATTCAAAAAAGCATCCATTTCCATTCATTCCAAATAATCTGCCTTTTACTCTCCTTGCCTGTTTTACCTATTTGTAACAGCCCATTTGAGTCAAGAAATTGTATTGAAGAAAGATGAGTGAAATAATATTGTAGATTTGTTTAACCTCTGTTCTATTTACCCTGAGAACCCAGTATGCTGCGTTATGATGTCTAAATCAGCTCATAAATAAATATGTAGCACTGGTTTGGTTTCTTGCTTTTTCAGTAGTGTTTCAGACTTTCAGCCATGTTTCAGACTAAAGATGCATTTAAAGACGCTGATTGCAGATGCAACAGGAGGTAACTACAGTGGCTGTAATATAAAGAAAGTATGTTAAAAAGTTGAGTGAGAAAGATATGTAAAATTTTGTAGTTTGGTCAATGGAACTAATTGGCATAAATCAGAAAACAAAGAAAAAAATTAAATACTTGTGTCCACCTAAAACATGTATTTCGTTTCTTGTTTTGGGGGTAGGAACATGCAATGAGGAGTCCAGGAAACAAAGACCTGATATACATTGGTTAGAGTTCATTTAGTGACATGACTTTTGTAGCTTAAAATTTGTCTCAGAATGGAGTAATGACTGAGTTGTATAATAAAGCATGAAGAGGAGTTGAGAATATCTATGGGAGATGCATAATCTTCATTACATTCCCCCAGCCTAATAAGTATATAAAAAAATAAAATGCTATTTATGTGTACATACAGCATACATTTGTGCTGAAAACCTGTTTATCATATGTGCAGAAATACATTAAATGCACAAAGCTTTTGTGACCTCTGTCATCTTTTCCTGATACCTTGTATTTATTGAAAGGATCAGTAGTACGGCGTGTACATTACATCTTTGAATGAAATCGATTCTGCTAACTGCAGGTAAAGGACAGTCAGTGCCACAGAACAGAGCACTTCTAAGCTGTTTTGGCTTCAGCTGAATCTTAAAAATAGTTCTGTGTTTTCCATAGCAGAATTATTTCTTTTATATGGCTTCCTGTTTTTCTTTAAAGTGAAATCAAGCAAGAGAAGCAAAAGGCTGAAAAAGCTTGAGCAGTGGAGCTGCACAGCTTTTCACAAATGGCTCCTCACCATCCTTGCATGCATTAGAACAGTACAGTTATGCATAATATTTCCTCAAACCAGTACTTGGAAAGCATGGAGCTTATCTCAGTTTGCAAAACTGATGAGCTTCCAGCGATGCTGTGGCCAGCGAAGTCTGTGCCCTTGTTCAGGACATGGACAAACAGTAACAGGATGATGTTTCCCTTCTTGTGCTTACATGTGTAATTCATATAGACTCTTGGTCTTGGTGCACATAGACTCTCTGGCACATCTGTCAGCGTCACTGAGAAGTTGCCTTAATTCTACAGTGAATGTAGATTCCTTGTCGTGGAGCAGCAAACCAGTGCAGTTCTTCCATGCCGAGCTGAAATACGCCAGGTTATATGGAGTGCTTCACTGAACTGCCTTTTTTACTTTAGAACAAATAAAGTGAGGTGTTTCATGATCTGAAATGCAAATCTCATTCCAAAATTATTTGGCTTAATTAAAATTTTAAGAAATAAGATTATATATCCTCATTAGTGGGATGTGACATGTTTTCTTCTGCATGTTCAAATGTCATATTTTACTCTATGTCAGAAATGTTTTAGTGGTGATGGTTCTTTGATAGCCACGTAAAAACCAGTTGGTTATACCCAAACTGTTACCTGTATAAACCTTAGTATCTGATTTAAAGAGAAGAGAAATCTACAATCATTATGTTGCAAAATCAGACAAGCACATGGTTTGAAAGTGATGCTGTTTTAATGGCTTGTCCCAAATGTCATCTGCTGTTATGCCTCTGAATATATAGATTCTGTGGCACAAAGCAAAACTTTCCTTCTTTTGGCCCTTTCGTCTTCCCAGGTTTTGAAGCCCTGTTTTATCATTTGTTTTTTTTAGATGACTTGTCCTTACTTTTGTCCTGTATGTAGCAATTATTTTTTCTTGTGGAAAGTAGTCTTATTTACAAGTGAAATAGAAGTGTGCTGTGTTTTAAAAATTAGGTGCGCTTCTAGTTTTGTCAAGCATAACAGGGCTATCAACAGCTGTAGATAGTGTATGTCTTTCACACTCCTGTAGTTTATCCTACTTTTTTAGCAATGGACTGGCGATATTCCTGCATGCCTTTTTGGAATAATATCAGTGTATAACATTTGTGTATTTTCTTTGTTAATTTTTGAGCAAAATGTAATTGACTAATCCATCCCATAAGTATTTAAACAAAAAAATTCTTTAGAATATTTCCGAGCCATTCACTTCTTTCTTAACTTTTTTTGTAGACTGTAGGTATCTACACCTTCTGATTTGCGTGGGAAGGGATGTTGGGTTTGCTTGTAAATTTGTCCTTTTGAAAAAGCAAGATAAAGGAAAAACATTAATGTTGCATACTAATGTGTCATTTAGGGGGTGGATAACTTCCTAGCATTTGGAACTTTTTTTATTTCAATAACCCTGCTACCAAAAACTACATGAGGGTTGTAATTCCTTATAGCATAAATACTTCAGTCATTATTAAATGGGGGGAGAAAAGGTAAATATCAGGAACTGCTATTTTAATTAAGATAGGTGAGGAGTTAAGAATATTTATGCGTTGATTTTTAGTTTTCAAAATAAAAAGGCATATTGATCCACACATCAGACAGATTCACAGCCACTCATTTCTTTGCAGTTGGCCCTGTTAAAATTTTCTCTGTTTTTGAAGACCACACCATGGTCAGTGTACTGTTAATAGCTGTTTTTTAGTGCAGCAGAGTAACCCTGATAAAACTATTGAGTCTTTGAGTTCCTATAGAACAAATTTTGTAGGAGCATGTTCTATAAGAAATACTTTTATCTCTTCAAATTAATATTTTGGGACAGTTTATGAATACTAGGACTGACAAACTTCTAAATAGAAGTAACAGCTTGCTTTGTTACACAAATCAATGAATACACAAATAATACACTTCCATTGCTGGTAGACAGCTGGTTATTAATTCTCAGTCAGGGAATATTTCACTATAAGCTTTGAGGAACCTGGAGGAAAAAAGATAGAGTGGCAGAAAAGAATCTGGAGTATTTTTGGATTTTACTGAACTGAAAGAATTGTTGATTAACTCTTTACAGTTCTGACGTTCTTCACTCTTTGCAGTTTTGATCTAACATAGGATTCCAATTTCTGTAAAAGGCATATAAGCTGTTTGTAATATTATTGATAATGTCCTTTGCTAGTTGATTTTGTTTGAGCCAGACACAGTGCTAGGGTTTTGTTTTGTTGCAATAAACACGTTCTGGTTAATTTCTAATTTTGACTTTATGTATTGATTAAGTAGTGTAACCCCAGAATAACTAATGTGTGTTCTGGGCTTATGAATACTGCATATATGCAAATGCACTGAAGTACTCTTTCTGTTCTCATATGGCTATAAATTCTCCCTATTTACAGAGCTCTTTCCTAATCCATTCCTGCTAAACAAGAATTGTCAAATCATGTTTTGGCATTACTTTTGTCAGATTTGCTTCAGTCATGCAAATAAAATTCTGAAGAACAACTCTGCCAGAGAATTTGTGAGAAAGTGTAGCATTTAGTAAAGGCCAAAATAATAGACAAAGAAGTGAGATTCAGTGAATGCTATCTGAATGTTTGCAGTTTAACTTCTTAGAAGAGCACTTACACAATGTGAATCTCTCAGTCCTTGAGATGTATAATAAATTTCATCAGGTAACAGGTTTGTTTCCATGCTTTCCAAAACTGTTCTGCTGGCCTACATATTGGCAGAGCCTGATCAGTTAAAGCAGAATGCTTTGTAATCTCCCAGTTCCATGCTTACTGTGATTTTTTTTTTAATTTTATTGTTTTTATTCTTTTCTGCTTTCATGCCTCCAATTTCAGTTCCCATTACCTTATTTTCCAAGACAGTTTATTTGTTTCCAAGGATTTATACACCTAGAAATTTTATTTGTGGCCTAGCAGTTTGCTGACTGCTTTCACTGAGCTCTGTGTTCTGCTGCGGTGGTGAATCAAGTCATTTTGCTGGTGCTGTTTTTCTTAAAGGCAGCTGGAGTTGCCACTGAGGGAAGTGGCCTCAGGTGATTTGTTTCAGGTGATTGTAATAAGGACATGACGTCTATCACCAGAGCATCTGGGCACAGTGGTGGATTGGTGAGTGACTTCTCCTGGTGTGTTACCTGTTGTATTTCACCGAAGAGCCTGCATGTTTCATCTGGGGGTAGCTAAAGTTAACTTCTGTGTGGCTCTCCAGATGTGATTCATCAGTAGCCTGAAGCAGTGGTGTTCCAATCCACCAGGCAAGCAAGCCTGCATCTGTGCTACCCAGAGAACTGAACAGCGCTGTCATGCCTTAGTGTCAGCTTCCTGCAAGTCAAGGAGAGCCCAGTGGCAGCAGTGGATGCTTTTACTGGAAATATAGTTGGGCTTAGCATTGTGTAGAGGTGGCTAAGAAAATTTCTATGTGTGAGCTAAAAGTAAATGTATCATTCATTTATTAACTTCCTTCTTGGCAGTGATAGGAGAGCTTGTGTTTTATGTGGCCAAATGAACCTGAGCAGTGAAAACCATTGGGTTTTTCTCCTCTCTCATTTTCCTCTTAACACTACTTTGCCTACAGCTTTTTCGTTTGAAGCTACTAGAGATGTTTACTTCAAGGCAGACTGGGCTATTCCATATTCAGTAGTGTTCAAAGCAAAGGCTCAGGTACCGTATCAAGAGGTGAATAATGTTGTCAAAGGAATGAAAGTCAGCTCTGGTAGCCTCTTAGGAAACTGGAGATGAGGTGTCTGTGAGGTGTCTGCAGTTACATATGGAGTTTGTGAGATTTGAAATAGGCCTCTGGTAAACCACTCAAATAATCATGCTGTAAAATGTTTATAATCTTTGAAATAAGCTACTTTAGTACTGCTTTGTTGCTGGTTTTGTATATATTGTGATAGCAGTTATCAGTTAGAGACATGACATTTTTTCATACTTTAACTTGAAGCAGAGCTGCCTTTTTGATTATTCGAATACTGTCTTTATGTATTCATGGTTGGAGAAGGGTAAAAAGAAAGAAAAAGATCACCTGTTTCTAATTTGGTTATTTCAGGTTTTAATGTATTACTTTTTATTCCAGTCATGGTAAGCATCCTTCTGTCAACAGTGAAACTCAGATGAGGTGGAGCAGAAATTACGACAGGGAAACTGATTTCTCCAGTTGCCTTGAAATGACAGCTAGGGGAATGACAGGCTTTGAAATGAGGAGCATATCTATGGTGCCTGACTTGAATTGTTCTAAAGAAGGCATTGAGCTGAATGCTCTGGGGTTCAAGCTGATAATTTGAAAATGTTGTGGTATGATTTTGCTTAATCTCCTTCAGCTGGAATTACTCACTGAACATTAACTGTGCATAGACCTGTTCTGTCTTTGAGATTCATAAATTTTGTGATCTTCCCAGTCCTTTACATTTCAAACATTTATTTTGAAAAGTTCAGACATAATTTCTATCAGCACTGGTTCATTTTGCTGTTGAAGTTGTCATCCCAACAGAACAGTTCATGGAGGAAAGTGACACTAGACTTAGGTTTGAATGTCAGTAGTTCCTGATTGTATTTCCAGGTTTATTCTGTTTAAAGTAAAACATGTAAATAGACTAAAAGATGCCTGATAGTATCCATTCTTTTAGAACACATTTCTTCTAAAAACTAAAGATGAAAACTTCAGAACTATGTCCTGGTTAAGCTGACAGTCTTAATATGTATATACCAACTTGCTTATGTATCTTTGGGGAGCTGTACAGGCCTCCAGTAGATTTTGCTGGATGCATGTGTTTGAAGATGTCAGCCTTACTTCTGCACACTTTACATAATCCCAATGCAGCGCTAACTAACTTTCGCTAACTTTGGAAACTGATCACTTTGTTCTTTGTTTTGATTTCAGAGCATCAGTAGTATACCATGTCCTGTGACTGCAGTCAGAACTTTACCCACCTTAGAAGTTAAACAAGCAGAAAGGCCTTCAAGCAGAAGCAGAGATCTTCCTAGGGATGAAGAAAAGGAAAAGAAAAGGAAAAAACACAAGAAAAGGTCTCAGTCAAGATCTCGATCACCATTCAAGTATCATTCATCATCTAAGTCCAGGTCTAGATCACATTCAAAAGCAAAACATTCACTTCCCACTGCCTATAGGACTGTCAGGCATTCAAGGTGGGTTTGGAAACCAAACACATTCTTTAGCGTTCTGTGTGGGTTAACACGTAAAACATCTTTGTGCTTCTTCAGTTACATAGGTGTTTTTATGCCCATTGCAAAGGTCACAGTCACCTTGAAGGCAGTTTGTGGCACATACAGATCAAATGTGGCAAGTCTTTTGAAAATCCTTTTCGTGAAATAATGAATCATTCTAATTACTTAGTGCAAAACTTACCAGTAAATGCTTTTTCCTGACCTTCTTTGAAATACCTAGTAATAGTGCGTAGGAATGTGATGATAGCAGGAAGAGAGCTTGCTAATAAATCTGTGGCTGTTACTGGAGCAAAGTAACTTAGACAATATTCAGATAAGGAATAGAGGTAGAGTACTAGGTGATTGAGCAGCAAAGCTCAGAAGAAAACAAAGCAGTTGAGTAACAAGTGAAAAAAATATGATGGAGAGATATGGCAGGAATCCAAGAAGAGTGAAAACAGAGGTGAAAGAGAGAGATACTACAGAAGAATGTAGCCCAGTACTGTTAACTCTGTACTTAATCATTAATGAGATTAAATACACTATGCTAATTATCCAGGTATAAGATGTATACTGTGTTTTACTGATGCTGTTAATTCCGTCAAAGATATTTGGGTTAGGCACCTTCAAAGTTTACTGTCTGTAAAATTTGTCATACCTGAATGCTGTACCACTGTGGTCAGTAGGAAGGGCTTTGAGGGTACATTCTGTGGATCAGCATACAGAACAGTGTAGCTACTTATGAAGCTTGTAGTTCAAGCAAATTGCACATAAATACTGCCACAGCTGTGTAAGTATGTGATGCATGTGAATCCACACAGTACTTCCTCTTTGTGTCTCTTGTCTGCGGCTCATGCCTGAAAAAAGCTGCTAGCCCCTGATGACAGTGTGCCAAAACTTATTTTAGTTTTTTTGTTTAATCAGGTGTCTTAACTACACTAGCAGGAGTGTTAACATGTTACAACTTACCAGTTTATACTTGATTTTTGAGTTTAAGAACAATACTTTGCTGCAGAAGTCTCTGCTATTCAGAGATGCCAGGAATTAAGTGAGCGCAACTTGGACTGAAACAATCAGTCTGATGTGCTGCTTATTTGATCTTGTCAATAAGTTGTTGTGACATGCTGTGTCTTAACCAAATGTCATCAAGAATAGGTAATCTACAGGAGCTAATCTGTGTTTGCTGTCTTGAGTTTGCCTCCTGGCACAAATCAAATGACAAGCACACAACAGCATGAAAATTATGAATCACCACAACACCTGATAAAATCTAGTTAGATATTTCCTCGATGAGCAGTTGACTTCTGAAATCTCAGAAGTTCAATAAACTTGATGTTGGCTGGCTGAATTTTAAAATTATGCAGAAAAACAGCACCAGATTTTGCACTGAAAACATTTTGAATATTTTAACTTCATAAAAGTTAGAGGTGAACAGGAAAGGCCTTGTAGAAGAAATGGTGATGATCGAAGATGTGCTTTATTTTCTTTTGCATCTTCAGCAGTAGTAAAGTTGAAAAATTCTGTTCCAATAACATGAAGTTGATTCAGAGCATGTTTTGCATATTCATTTCTCTGGTTAAAAGCATACCTATGTTACAGAAACAAGTTTTAAAAAATTGTAGCTATATAGAGAGCCCAGATAGTACTGGCTTAATTGTGCTAACAGCAATTCTCTGTATAAATGCTTGTTATTTTCTGGAACAAAATTAGTCCTATAAAGCTCGGCATCATACAGTTTTAATGCTAGACCAACACGACAGATGAAACGAGCCATGTACACAGTAAACAGTGTCCCAGAGTTCTGTAAGATGCTGCAGAGCAAACGTGTCATTCCCAGAGAGGTAAATAGTTATTACAAGTAAGTACTTGATATCAAAGATGGGGCACATTTATTAAATCTGTCTTGGAAAACAAAGGTTTTGGTATCTTGTTAGTAAATACAGTAAATACTGAATCACTGTTTTTATTTCTTATGGGCTTCCAAGCACCGTTAAAAAATTGTGTCAGAGCTGGGGTGGGCAGTGGGCTCTTCAGCTCACGTGTGTAACTGTAAAGAACAGTGATATTCACCTCAATCTCTGTTTCCTACCCATAGATAAATCTACTGATTTGTGAGTGTGAGAGGAGATTAAGGGAAGCTGAAGCACTTGTTATATACCAAATGATTTAGTGATTTGATTGGGTGAAATTTGGATGTTCATTTTGAACTAGAGATGGAAAGTCTAAGCTTCTTTGCAGTATTGCAAACATTTATACTGTTTAGTAATAGAGTAGTACTAAAGCACATAATATATCCAGTTAATGAGTATTAGCAGTAATTAGCTGTGTATTTTATTAACAGGTTACTTTGTGATAAGTTTGGATAAGGGTGCACCTGTGTGGGAGTTTGTGTGAGACTTTTTGCCTCAGTTTTAGGAATTCATTAGACTTGGAAGTAGCTGTTCTTTGTTAAAAAAGTTGTTTGGTGTTGGGGTTTTTTCCTCCTACAAAAGTGATTTTCTTATTGCTGAGGCAGTGTCTAGTCACATAATTTTAATTCCAGTTTTGTAGTGAGACATGCCAAGCTTCATAACCCTTTGAACTTTTGGGACCCTGCTAAGCATAAGTCATAAAGGAATAAAATGCCTTCTGGAATTACAGTCTAATAAAAGTTACAATTTACATATTGCAGTAAAACTGAGTAGCTGTTTTCTAATTGTTTGAAGCACATGGCCAAAGTTCTTAATATTTGGTGATTGGAAAAATGCTGTAGAACCACAAATGCCAGTTCATAAAAATAAAGCTAATGTCTTTTTCTTTCTGATTGTTTGGACTTTTTTTAGGCTGGTCCATACAGGCGTGTTTCACTAAGGTTCAGCTTTTGGTTAAGGGAGTAAGCCTTTTCAGGATTCTAGTTAATACCAAAACTAGGACATTTTAGTCTGGATGTGAAGTGTGTACCTCCATATCACAGACTCACAGCATCCACAGCGACACTGAGCATGGAGCCGAGTCTGAGCAGCTCATCAGTGGCAGCAGCAGCAGAGTGGAAAAATTATCAGGCAACTTGGGCAATGAAAAGATTTGACTGCTGGAGCTCTTTTGAGGGAAATCCTGGTAAAATGTTAAGGTGTCTGACTGAACCCAAGTTTTATAATCTGTTGGTTTTTTCCTTTTTTTTTAATCCTTCTCAATGGCTTGGTAAAGATCAGATTTTATAAGTGTCAAAGCAGTTAATTTGCAACAGTTATCTGCCATTGCGATAATTTCTTTTCAGTTGGGCTTTTTTGTTGTAAGTGTAACAGAAATGGCTCAGGACTTTGTAGGTGTGTATATATTATCTATATTGTGTGAACCTGAAGATCTCTGATCTTAACTGGGCATGCTTTCTATTTTCTCTTCTTGATCTCCTTCTCACTTTTCTAGGAAAAATATTTCAATCAAAGTGCTAGTGCCAGACAACATTGATAATGCGTTGTTGGTCACTTGCACTGGTGAAAATATTGTCTGTGCTAGGTTTGTTCTGCAACATCCAGGACATTTCCTGGACTTGTCAGTATTAGACAAGCCACTGCATCAAGAATGTGCATTTATCTCTATGAGACATCAGTTCTAAAAGCACACCACTAATTTGAGAAGACAAAGTAAGGACTGCCAATCCCAGGCTTCGTGCAAATTGGATTTCTGCATACCAGTTTTAGCAAACTGTTGCCACAAAAGGTGGCTGGACTAAAAGAAAATTTTTCCATCAAATAATACAGAAGTTGTCATAGCAAACAAGACTGAAAAATATTTCATTTTTTTAGCCCCCTATTGGGCATGAAAAGCAATGGATAACTTCATGTCAAATGTCTTGGATAGGCAAGAAATTTTTATGCAGCTGACAAGTCTTGGAGCCGAAATGCACCATGTTGGTATAAAATAGGTATTGCATTTGGTGAAGCACAATTCCACTGAAGTAAAAGTTTTGAAATAAGTAACAAAAAGCAAACTTTTGAATGTTTTTTCTCTCCTCAGGTCACGATCAAGGTCACCCCGGAGAAGGGCTCACACACCAGAACGGCGGAGAGACGAGAGAAGCGTTCCCACAGCGTATCGCATCAGCAATAGTCCTGGGAACAGCAGGAAGCGGCCCCGCTCCAAGTAAGGGCTCCTGGTCCTGGACAGTGGGGTCTTGGCATCCTAACAGCCTGATGTCTTGTAGACTCCTTAGCTAGAACTTAACCTTTGTATGTTCTGGAGATTTATTTTGATAGAAAAATACTTTTTTGGGAAAAAAAAATTATGGATGCACTTGTCATTCTTCCCGGTTCTTGCATATGTTTGAACAGCAACTGTACAGTCAAATTGGTGGATGTTAATACACTGCTGTTTGCTGGCCATCAGAGTTCAGATTTCACTGGGAGTTTCATATTACGCTCTTGTTGGATCATTTTCTCATGCTGTGATTGTGCAAGCTGTATGACCTCTGTACAGGTCATAGCACAACTATGATGTCAACTTTCTTGACATCACATCTTATCTGCATAAGGGCAACGCTGATTTACAAACAGTTATTTTACAGTTATTTTACTGGCAGACTGGAATGTGAAGTGTGAATCATGGTATTATTTTGAGAGCACCCTGCACAGAGTCATTCTTAAACTATTATAATCAAAATGGCATTTAGTCTTCAACTTGTTTCTCTGTATGTCTTGTGGAATAAGAAAGAAAGAGATCACTTTCAGCTTAGTTTAAAAAACTGTTGTTTCTTATGACAACATCACTTGATAGCCTGTAATTAATTGATGTGTGGTAGGTATAATTGAGAACTTCCTAAGTATACTTCAAATGATTTAGTTTTTAACATTCATCAAATGAAGATAATAGAGGCTCCTGTGGAATCCATGCAAGTTTGGTTAAGCGGAAAATATGGGAGCTTAAAATATTTGTTTTCCTATAAATGCACAAAAGACTCGTTTTTCACATCTCCATGCTGTTCTTAATGCTGTGTTGGTGTGTTTGCTGCTTGACCATTCAGCATTTAAAACTATAAAGTAATTTTAGAATTTTGCTGCTCCAAGTTGTAAATTATAATGGCAATTGTGAAATAGATTACATTCCTCTATGAATAATATTGCTTATATAGGTCAAAATTTTAAACTTCTGTGAAGCCTCAAACAGGAAACCAGAAAGTGTCACAATAAAATATGGCAGTAAGTACAGAAGAGGTAGACTGAAGGAGTACTGTAGTTAAACATAGATAAGGATATTTTGCAGCTCTGGTTGCAGAAGTTAAATCAGAAACTGTTTCAGCCCCGACATGTTAAATTTTTAAGTAAAAATGTGATGGACCAGTTTCCATGTTCAATTATGGAACAGATTCTTCATCATTCAGCTGTTCTATTTGTTCATCATAATCTGAGATGAAAAGCACTGAAAAAACTTAGAGTAAAATACTTTACTTGCATGACAAATGTCTGCCAAGATTTTCAAGATTCAAATGTGAGATCTGTTCACAGCTTAGTTATGTGATGATGTTTTAAGAAACTAAGCAATTAAAGTACATAGCTAGTCAAGGAATAACTGACTTTGTAGCTGATGGTTTTGTGTAGTCATGAAAATGTTAGAGGCTGTGGGGTTTTTTGTCTGCCACTTAATTTTTTATTCAGGAAAAATGTAAGGAGATTTTGCAATTTTAAATCTTGAGTGTTTTCTCTATATAAAAATATATATAATATGTCTCTATATAAAATATAATATATCTCTATATAAAAATTGTGGGGTAAATGCTAAGCTTCAGAGCTGTATGCTGTTTATATGGAAATTCAATACATTATGGTATAGCACCTTTTAAAGTAGAAAATTCCCATGAAAAATCAAAGTAAAGGAATGAATAATAGGATATTTAAAAGGTGGCTAAAAGTTTTAGTCCTTTCAGATGTTCTAGATGCTTCAAGAACATTCCTCTGAATAGACTTCTAGGAGTGCATACTAGAGAGAGATGCTTACAGTGAGATATTGCCTACCTCTAATTTAGGCATCACTCTAGTTATTCTAATTATAGTAATATCAATACTAGTATGTAAATCATACAAACATAAGTTCATAGCCAGGTAAAAAGATTTGCTAGTTTCATCTTTAATACATTACTAATTGAATTCTCTTTGAGCTTAATATTGCTTCTCTGTTCCGTTCTGTCAGTAATGAGCTCATCAGGTACCCCTAAGTCCTTTGTTTCAGCTTTCATATTGAGAAACATTTGTGGATCTAATTTCTAGGTTTGAAACAGTTTGCACTTAGGCACACTGTTAGGTCCAGATTAGCCTGAGTGCAATACAGCATGTCATTTAAAATTTTGATCCTATGGTTTGTTGCATTGCAAGTTGGATCACAAGGAAAGGGGCTTTTTTTTGTTTTAAAAACCAAACAGACTGTGGGCTTGCCTTGTAGATATTTTACATAGCCATAATTCCACGTTTTGTTTACTTTATGAGCTAGGAAAATTGTAAAGGGATATAAACTTACATTTCTTACTGCATGCTTAGTGTCTAGTGTTGTTTGGGAAGGAACTTCCCTCTAGCACAATTATTCTGCAAATCTCCAGTGAAAGGCTTTTTGTTGTTGTCCTGCATTCCGAGTGAGAACCTCAGGAAGCAGTAGTTGCCTACGGTAATATATTAAAAAGAGCTTCTGAGAAAGTATTTTGTACAACCATAAACATGCGGTGTTGGGTAAGACTAATGCTTGCTGAATGCAAGAGAAACATAAGCTGAGGAAGAGGGTACATAAGCTTTCAGAAGTGTGCAAAGTAACCTCAGCTTAGCTAGTGTAATAGTCCTTTAAATATTGTTCAATAAAATATTTTCTTCTCACAGAAGTCCCCATGAAAAGAAGAAGAAGAGGCGGTCTAGATCACGTACTAAATCCAGAGCTAGGTCTCCCTCACCATCCATGTCACCAGGCAAACCATCCACACACAAAAATTCTGTACATTCAACTAGTGTCTCTCCTGTGGAGAGCAGGGAATCCAGCCAGGAACGCTCCAGGTACCGTGCTTTGTTACTGTCTTACTGCAGTGCTGCTGCCTCTTGACTGTCAGGGTGTCTATGACCAGAGTCGTGGGGTGAGGAGCTCTGTGTCTGTGCAATTTGTGCTTATCAAAAGTAAAAGTCACTGGGAGCACAGCACTATCTGCATCAGTCTGATAAACATGTTGGATCTCTTTTGCTTTCTGGAGTAAATATCTCAACCTTACAGTAAAACTGGTGCAGAGAATTCTGCAACCTGTTTCTAAGTTGGAAATTGGAAGCTTTCGTGAAATGAGAACTCTTTGAAGTAGAACTTTAATAGAGTGGTTTGAATTGTAACATGTGCCAAGATTCATGATTAAATTATTTCTAGAATATAGAACAGCCCTGTTAAAAATTCTCAAGCTGCTGTTCAGATTTGTCTGAGCAGTTGTACAAGTGATTTTTCTGACCCTGACTTTGATGCTCCGGTTGACTGAGAGAGCTGTTGACTAACACAGGAGAGACATGTACAGTAAAGCACAAGTCAAGATGGTGAGTGAAATGCATTTTCAAAACTTCTACTATAAATTTCTAATTTTATTTTTAGGGGAGTCTCTCAGGAAAAAGATGGCCAAATCTCTTCAGCAATTGTGTCGTCAGTGCAGAGTAAAATCACTCAGGTACAAATAGGCAAATTCAGAGTATATTGCCTAATTAAATATGTCCAACATATTGTTTTCTTCTCTTACCACCTTGGACAATTCTGAACTTCACGTATGATGTAGAGACATGTTCACTGTCTTTCTTAATCTGTTTGCCTACAGGAGCAGCAGTTTTGTTGCTTCTCTAGGTGCTGTCCTTTCAGTTTTAATCAAGCCTCTAAAGACCAAGCTAAATTCATTAGGCTGCAGTTGTATCCACTGTAAAGATGCTAAAGTCCACGTTATGCTACAATACTCCCTTTATCAAAACCCCATCTTACCATGTAGAGCTCTTAACAAGCTTCATGGAAGAAAGAAATATTTAACTTTTTTCAATTGGATAAGCCAACTTTAAAGGAAAAATTGTCTTAATTATGGTTTGAAAAATTTACAGTAGAAAATCAGAGCTGCTTTTTATATGCTGATGTTTTTTCAGTGGATAAGTTATTCTTTCAAGAAATAAATATTGTTCAAAAATCTAGTTCTGCTATGGAAATAGTGGTAGTTGGAAATTAATACTAGTGGTCTAGTACCTTACATACAAAATTTGATCCATTTCTTATGACAAACCCTAAAAAAGATTATTCAGGAAAAATAGCAAGTATAGGCAGCAGAGAAAGAAAAAGGAGTGTTAATGTTACAGCACTTCTTATGCTACCACACAAATGCATGGGAATTCCTGGTATGAGAAATGAGATACAAACTGCAGCATGGTCTTTAAAGGAGAGTAAACATCCCACCCTTCAAATACATATACCCTTCAAAGGTCATTGGTTTCTGCATTTTTGGGTTAAATGTTGCTTATAGCATAACATTTCCTAGTTTAATATTAGACTGCTTGTTTGAAATACAGCTGTAAGAGACAGAATGATTACTGAATCAAAATACAGTTCTTGGTTGCTATTTGCAAAAAGTAAAAAGTAGGAATGAAACTTAGGTGAATCTGCAAGATATTTTTCAATACAGATGAGTTTATCATGTCTTTATCATTAAGGGCTCCAAAAAAATGGAATTTAACTAATTATTAGATTGTTGTGCTGCCATTGTCCTGGCTGACCCTAACCAAGTCAGTACTTTTTCTCATTCAGATCCTTCCATCTGTAAAGCAGCAGGAATAATGTTGCTAAATTTCCCTTTGGTGTGTTTTGAGAACTTCAGATGCAAAATGCTTTTAAAGCACTAAGGAATTTATTTATGTTGCATTTGTGAACAAATGTTTAAGTAACTCTGATTTGTTAGTGATACCCACTTTTTATTTTGTCATCATTTTTTGCAACCCAGTTATTCAGTGCTGTTTACATGAAATTTCATTTCCTCTTGTAATGCTGTTCCAACTGGATGCGCAGACGTGACTGAGTCTGTTTGGCTTCACAGTCACTGACATATGAGAAAATGCCTCTGCTGTGTAAATTGTTGGTTCAGATTTACAAAGCAAGGAAAAAAAACCTTTCTGTTTTAGAGTCTTACCAGTTCTCTCTCTTTTTCTCTTTCTCTTTTCTTTTTTTCCCATTGTAAACCTCTAGTGGTTAGTAATTGTGTGTTCATTACAGGGTTTCTTTGAAGATATGGTCATAGTTTTGCCATTTCAATTGATGTGATTTCTGTGCTTTGTTGTATAGAAATGATATAGAAATATTTATGCAGAGCACTTTGTAGCATTTTGGTAAAACCAGAATTCAGTTGCTGTCATAGGAACTTTCTCCAAATTATTTGACTCATTTAGCCTATGAGCTAAACATTTGATAGTCATGACTCCAAGTATCCCACGTGACTGGAACACACACTAACCCTTCCATGTAGATTTTTGCAGTCATGTATTTTAGCTCTGCTCAAAGCTCAGACATGTCTGATCACTTTCCTTTTATTTTTACAGGATCTTATGGCCAAAGTGAGAGCAATGCTTGCAGCTTCCAAAAACATCCAAACCAGTGCCTCCTGAGACCTGCTGGAACTGACCATCAGAAAAAGAAAAGAACAATTGGAAAAGAACTGCCTCATCTCAAATGTACAGCTGAGCTTGGCTCACTTGGTTCACAACTCGCCTAATTTACCAGAACTCAAGAACTAAAACCTATCTTTCTGTACAGAAGCATCTCCTTGAAATTTCATTAAATTTTTTCAGCCAGAATATCTTTGAAAAGTTTTTGGGTTTTGTAAATTGATTTTTTTGACTAATTCTTCAATAACATTTTATGATCAGCAGTCTGTATGTGTATATTTGTAAATACTATGTTTCTGTGAAAAGTATTACACAATAATAAAGAAGGAAACGTCTTTCATTAGCTAGAGTTTTTGTGGAGTCCTTAATTGTTTGCAGTTGGGTTTTGTTACAATTTTTTTGTTGTTTATTATTTTCTGCTTTTAAATTTGACAACTGTCTTGCCTGCTGACCACCTTAAGCTGAGAAATGCTTCATGCACAGGATGATCTCAGAAAAATGCTTGTATACTTGGATGTCAGTAGTAGACAGTAGTTTTTGAATAAGGGATGTGATTTTATGTCCATGAGTTAGAAAGATCTTGGAGCCTCCATGTGAGGGGTTGGCCCTTTAAGGTCAGTAACTAATGGTCAGTAGCCCCATTGTCTTAGTGTACCTTATTCTCTCTACTTAGGTACAGAAAAGAGGGTATTTCTGGACATTCATCAGGCATCCTGTATAGAAATCCAGCGTTTTTCTGATTGAACATACCATTGAAAAAGATATTTATTAACTTGTATTTTAGTGACATTGACCTACTAACTTTTTTCAGAAAGTTTGTGTGCTCAGTAAAATTGCACATTTGTTTATTATGCATTCTTTTTTCCACATGAGACTATTTTCATGTTTTAATTTAAGTGCTCTTAAAATTAATACCAAAAAATGTGTAGATTTTTACCAAAGCCTGCTTAGTAATAGTTGGTTATATTCAAAAGGTGCTGTTATTAGCAATTGTCTAATTCCATAAGCAATGGGATCATGGCTTTTACTGATCCCTGAAAAAGTCTGTGATCTAGAGTCAGAAAGATTCTGAGTTTAGTGACTAACTGTCCTGATTTTCTCAGATTTTATGAAGAGTGGGTGGAGGTTGGAAATTGGTTATAGAAATTAAAGTTCCTACTTCCTCATAGGCCAGTTGGTAAGTTATTTTAAGAAAATGACACAGATAAAGAACCCCAATGCAAAAATCTTTCTGTTCAAAGCAAGGGAAGGAGAAACTGTTGATATAACTCAAACTTTCACTAACATGATGGTCAAAATGATCCCTGGCATAACACTTGCTCCCTTGGAATGCAAGCACAGTATTTAAGCCATTGGAAATGATAATTGATCAGGTTTCTTTTCAATTTTTGGTTAATAATTAGCAGAATTCACACTCATACAAACAATATAAAATGCTGCATCTGATGTAAAGAAATACTATGCATATAACCTGTGATGAAACAGAGCCATCTAAATGGTCACGTAGAATGATGCTATCCACCACTTGCCTAATTATTTCCAAGTTACTTGCAGTGTTTTGACTAGGACGGAAATAACTTTCAACCAATACCAGAGAGGCACCATTTCCTCTGCACCAGTTGGTGAAACAGTACTAGTAGAGAGAGATAAAAAAGGATGTAAAGTAGATTTCAAGACAGCAGTTGTAGGTTGTTGTGCAGCGTTGGGATTTACAGCAGGTGTATTTTTCTCCCCTAAATGGAGTTAAAAGTTACTTAACTACCATGGTTAAATAGTTGGCAGCTTGGATGCAAATTGTTTGCTAAGTAATAGGAAAAAATCCCAGCTCTTTGATAAAATAGACTGGGCAGCTGTTTGTCTGCTGCTTTGCAGATTCATTCTCTTTGGGAAGGTTGTTGCTTTTATGATTTCTTAGAATATTTTCTCTTTCTATGAGCAAGTCTTCTAGTCTTCTGTTTTTTCTTTTCCTTAATCCCTTTTGTGATATGTCAGGAGATGGAGTGTTTAGCTCCAGAAAAATTTAGTATAAACTGCATTTTTATACAGTTTATTTTTTTACTGAGGTTTGTTTGCACTTAGCAGTCTCATGGGGAGCTGTATTCTCTAAAAACTAGTAGTGTTTTCATTATGTTATTTTTTTTCTAAAAAATAAAGGGCTTTTAAAAGGGCTTGAACTGCTTTACCAGAATAATTTCACATTTGGAAATCAATGCAGCTCTTTTTTTTGATCTCTTCACTGGCACTGGCTGTATTGTAACTACTTGTAATACAGCATGGAACTTGTGATACAGTGAGTGCAATTTCAGGTGTCTGGTGTATCAGAAGAATGTGTGACCAGTATCAGGAAACTGTCTTAATAACTTTAAATTGGGAAATTTTCAAATGTCTGTTTTCCAGGTATGAATTTGCAGTACAATCCCGAACTGTCTGGGACCTCAGGTCTGATTCTGGATCAGATGACACCTCCCAGTCCATCTCCCATCCACAAAACTGTATGTACTCAATTCCTTGCCATGTTTCCATGCACCAACAGGCCTAAAAAGGCCCTGGATCATCCGGCTATATTGCCAGAATCTTTTTTCTGGTGAGAAACACACAAGAGTGCTGAAACAGGGAGTTAAAAAGTCAGGAACACTTTGACTGGAGGAAAGCAGGCTCTGAGTAGCCATGAAGAAAGCACTATAGCAGCTCTTGAGTTGTCAGTAACTAGTTTTGGTTTTCCACGTTTCTCAGTTGTGTGGAAACTACATATTGTGAAATTGCTTTGCTTTAAATTCAGTGAAATACAGTAAGTCAGGCAAGTCTTGAGCTGTAGGCACTTTGAGTTATTTCCCCTGCATAAGTGTAACGAACTAGGACTTTGAATGTTAATATTGGATTTCCAAAGAATTTTGGAAGGGCCTTTTTGTCTGTAATGTGCTAGCCTATCTTTTCTCTTTCTCTTAGAAGGATTGTAGTTTTGAAGATTTAAAAAAAAAAAAACCAAAAACTTTTAAAAATTGTCAGGTTATCTAACAGAGCTTTATTCTCTGTATTGATGCAGAGTAGCCTCTTAAAACAAAGAAATGCTACTGACAGACAGTAGGAGCTGTCCAAGAAGTATCAGGGGTTTTTTTCCTCTGGAGATTCACATTCAACTAAGATACCAAAACTACTTGAAATTTATTTGAATCGCTTAAGTTATTTGCAGGCATATTTGTAGATGTTACAGACATTATCAGGGAAGGGTGATAGGTTTATGTTGCAAAACTAATGGCACAAAGGCATCACTGCAGCAAAGGTTGTGTGTAGCCTTAGGTTCTTCACCTTTCTTTGTTAAATGGCAGTGAAATAGGTGAGGGTTAGGTGCTTGTATACATCTGTATGCTACCAATCCCTGCTACCAGTTTCCTTCTGAGCAGATTTCTCAGTATAGGCTGCCACTTCCACAGCTTTGCTTAATCTGCCCACCCAGGTCCAATCTTGATAGTTCAAACAGTGAATTCAGAACAATTTTTATTAAAGTTGCTCTAATTTGAATTAATTAGATGTGTTCAACAGCCTCCTTCCTGGCTCTTCAGTCTGGTAGGTAACATGTGAGTAGTAAAACAGTAAAATCATTTGGCCATCTCAGGATATACTTTTTGTTTTTCCGTAGGTGAGGAGGCCTGGCTTCCACTTGTTGATGGTTCGGCTTTCAGCAGTTTGGCTCTGTCAAGCAGCTGACAGCCACTGAGATGTATCTATGGTCTCTTGGTATTATTCATGATTTCATACCTATTGCCACTTTTAAGTCTTTGTATCACAACATTTTGTTTGACACCAGTTATTTTGGAGCACACACGTTCTCACTTGTAAGCTTAATGCATTAGAAACATCAAAATTATTCTTCATTTTTCAGTGGGGCAACAAATGATGACATTTAGAATAAATGTTTTCTGGGATTTAAGGCAATGACTATTATCTTTTGTGAAGACATTTTATTAGGAAATCCTATTTAATTAAATTTCTACTTAATTAAATTGCATTTATTACCTATTCTTCTTCCACCCCTAGCCAGCAACTGTTTATATTAAACAAAGAAATAAAAGACCTGTAGATTGAGGTTAGTAAACTGCTAAGGCATCTTCTTTGCTTGTTTTCCTTTTGCCATTATGATCTGAAAGCATAAAATACAGTATTGCAGTAATTTAACATTGTTAATTTAAAAGATGAAAATAACTTGGCTATGATATGAAAATTTGTTTGAAATTCTATAAACGCAGATCTTAAAAGTTTCTTTGTTTTTCCATTTGTGATTTAAATGCAAATATGTTCTGAATATCTTATTTTGCTTTTAGACAGATCTTTTCAGCACAGAAGTGTAGTTCAGTGAAGTATTACTTGTAAAAGGAAAGGCTTTATTGGAGCATTTGGTTGGAAACTAAAATCTGCCTGCACACTGATGAGCTTTTGGTCTTTCTGGTAGCAGCTGGAGTGGTATTGCTGTTGTTTACATGTCTTTGCGTTTTGCCTTAATTTTCCCTGCTCTGGATTACAGACGAGGTATATTCACCCTACTGCATTTTGTGAAATCTTAAAGCAAGTTGTGAGCATTTATAACAAATCCATTTTTACTTTTCAGGGCATTTGAAACTTCCCTGGTATTAACTTAATATCTTTAATTTGGATGAAGATGATAATCTCTTGGCAACAATTAATCCTGAACATGCAGCATGACAACAAACATTATAAAAAGCGCTGCCAGACCATTTTAAAAGTGATGGTGATAATCTGCTGTCTCTGGCTCGCTGCCACACTTTTCTCGGTAGACGTGCTAGGACTCTTCTCTGATAAGGACAAAATGGCTTCACATGCAATGGTTGCATGCTGACAAACTCATTTTTCTCTTTACACTGAGTGTTAAACTGATGATCTCTGCATAGGAAGTAAGATGAGTTCTTGTTGATACTTGACAGTGTTACAGATAGAGCTGCCTGCTTGGGTAAAAGCAATCCCAGTATGCAAGGCTGGAGGAGGGCGGGTGCTGATCTCCCCAGACAGCACATGTGCTGAGTGGCAGAAATGATGCCTCACTGCGGGGAAACTGCTGTTATCTGGGGATCTCAGATTTTTCTTTTCCTGTTTCCTGTAAAATAATCCTAGGAATGTCTTTCTCCAGAGAGAAGTTCCATATATGCTTATTTTTCCTCTATTAAAATGTAGGAGGATTTGGGGTTTCTCATGAAAATGCAATCCAGAGATGGATATCTGCAACATTATTTATTAGGATATGGCACCTGGGGTGATTGTGGCACTTTGAGTTAAATTATTGCTCTGGCTTGTTATAACAGTTTTACTCCTCCAAAAATGCTGAAGCTTGAA